TGAAACGAGAAGCAGTAATGACCTTGTTGAAACAACTAAATCCACATGGGACGGCTTTGAGAACACGCCGGAGGTCTACAAGATGCACGGATCATTCCATCGGTCCGAACTACAGATGGCATGCAGATGGCTATGACAAACTGAAACCCTTTGGATCGGCCCTCTCAGGATGTATAGATGGCTTTTCGAGAAGAATAATGTGGCTTGTTTGTGGAAATACTAACAACAACCCATCTGTCATCGCGCACAATTATATTAACTGTATATTAAAAGTGTTGGTGTGATCCCAATGAGATTCAGAACTGACCTCGGAGCAGAACATGGGACAATTGCAGCAATCTTATCTTATCTTATCTTATCTTTATCTTATCTTAATACAGTGTGCCCTCCGCCATGCACATACGGACTACTATGGAGGCTCGTCAAGCCACAGTTACGACTCATCAACAGGGAATCAGCGTAGCGAGTCCTGGTGGTCCTTTTTCAGAAGAGGAAGGTATGTAACTATGTATTGCCTAGTGATCAGATCAATTATTCAATATTCACTATTATGAATTATTGTTTTCAGACCACTCTTTAAAATGCTGATAACATTCCTCATCTCAGCCCTCTAGATTATTTAATCAATTAAACATTTCTCCTCGTGTGTAAAAAAAACCCAGCAATTTTGCATTTACCGTATTTTCCGCACTATAAGGCGCACTTAAAAGCCTTTAATTTTCTCAAAAAACGACAGTGCGCCTTATAATCCGGAGCGCCTCATATATGGATCAATTGGTTAATTGGTTGATCCATACTGGTTGTACACGGCGCTCAGCGACAGTGACTCGGATAATGACGAGAGGGAGCCGGGCATGTTGGATGCCGTACTCGCCCAACTGTTCAATTCGGACACTGAAGAAGAAGAATTCGAGGGATTCGTGGACGGGGAATGAACTGAAAAAGTGAGCTTTACGTGTTATACGTAACTGAACAATGTTGAGTTATGCACTAACGTTTGAATTAGCGGTATCAGACTGTGTTTCTTTTACGTGTTTACAACTGAACAAGGCTGGGAGATATTGTGAATATGCACATTAACGTTTGAACAACGTTGAGTTATTGTGAATGCACTATGTATAAAACTACGTTTTGAGAGTTAAGAGAAACGTCAAAGAAATAATTTATTATTTGGGGAAATCGTCTTATGTACTTTTGTTTTTGTAGTTTTATACGTTACGTTTTATACGTATTTATATTTATATATTCACAATATCTCCCAGCCTTGTTCAGTTGTAAACACGTTCTATTCTATGCGCCTTATAATCCGGTGCGCCCTATATATGAAAACAGTTCTAAAATAGGCCATTCATTGAAGGTGCGCCTTATAATCCGGTGCGCCTTATAGTGCGGAAAATACGGTAATGTATTCCTAGGTCTCAGTTTTAGATGGACCTGTTTGGAGACCTAAGAGACTCTGGACACTTCAACGGTTGCCATGAACACCAGTGCTTACTGAGATTGTGCTTCAGTAATGTTCTGCAGAAAGACCTGGATGAATGTACGGACCTCTGGAACAAGCACAGGATTCGACCATCCAGACTTGCCTCATGTCCTGAAGGGATTCCAAATGAACTCTATTTGTTGCCTCACAGGTAATCCACATCAACTCAGAGTTAAATGATCATAAACTGAATATTGTATTATAACAAATTGCACTGCACTCGTTATGGAAACTATATTTGAATTATTGTATATTTTTGTAAATTATAGTATTTAATATAATTTATAGGCTAGTTGTCCTGCCTTTGTTTACTTTCACATTTCTGTATCAACAAGCAAACACATCTTATTAACAATGGCCAACAATTTCAAACTACATTTCTAATATCTGGTTAAAAAACCTTTTCATAATTCTATAATTGTCTGAATTTGCAGGTTTGGTTCAAGGGACTGTGGATTTGCTGCTGAAGACAGGGAACTAAATGTGTTTCCGGAGGCCAGGCAAACAATTGATTCATGCGGTGATCCATACATTCAGGTTTATCTACAACAGGCTGTGGAACAAAATGGATTACAGCAGCCACAAGATTGCTGGGCTATAGCTGCAGTATGGACTATACTGAAGCCCTTACCACATATTCTATGTTACAGTAAACCTATAGCTGAGAAAAAAAAATTCTGCTTTAGCAGGAGATGGCTTTACATTACATACACTACTGATTGGACTGCAAGTGCTTATATTTTGGGAACTACTGAGTCTTAATTGTGAACTGACATATAAGTGGCATAAAGGGGTTTAATTGTTAATAAAAGGATGATCTACCAATTTCTCAAATGTGGTACTTTCAATTTTCAGGTTTGGTAACTGGAATTCTTGCAAGCACAAAATATTTTATTCTGTGTGAACTGATATCACTATTTACACTACATGTAGAACATCTAGTAGACAGTTTCCTTGTATTGTATGTCATGTTAACAGCAGATACTGTGCATTAATGCTACAGAAGTCACAAGCTAAATAATTCACAACAAATTACACAATTGACATCTGTACACACCAGTATTTTACCCTTCTAAAGGTATTTGTTTTATTTATTGAAAACCAACATATGTTGCTGGAAAAAAATGCAGAATACATCATATTTGTTAGTAAATAAAATGTCATAGCATTTTTTTCGAATGAGAGTAAGCCATGAAAACAAAGAAACAGCAAGGAGCTAAAATCAGGACAAGAACCGTGAAGTGTGAACCGTCTCCAAGGTTTGAAAACTTCTAAATACATTAACAGATCTGGGGCCCGTTTCTGAAAGAAGGTTTTGTGTAAACTCTGAGTCAGTTCACCCTGAAGTGAGGGAAACTCTGGGTATTCTGTTTCAGAAGAGGAGGTCACTCAAACCAGAGAACGAGGGGTAACTCCAGCTCGTTTCAGAGGGAGAGGTAACTTTACCTCTGAGTCAGTTACTATGGTAACTGAGTCTGTGAATCTAACCTGGTCGGGAGCAGGTTTTCTTCAGTGAACCCCGAGTTTCTCTAAGTCTCCTCCCTCTTTCAGAGCCAGAAACACTGTTTCATTTCCTCATTCTTTCATTCAGTCCGTATCACGCTGTGTTAGTGAAGAGTCACCGTTTGTCTGAATAAAAATCCAGGTTGTTTTAATATGATATGTTAGGGTGGCAATAGCCTACTACAGCGTATAAAACTAACTGTTTTATCAAACATGGCATGTCTTTAAGTCGGTATGAAGGGGCTGCATTACTCCACAGGGAATTAGAGCCTCGGCTACATTAACGTCGGGAGATGTTAATTTATAAACTAAACAGGATAAAGGTGAGAGGACTTTTAGCCTGTGTGTGTGAATACAGCTTCATGTTGAGGATAAAGTTAATGCACATTCAAATAAACTCTGGATGAAGTTAACTATAAATCTATATGAGCCTATTATGTTATTATATTTCATTTTGAGCTGTTTAAAAGTCGATTTTCTTCTGCTGGATTGCATCTTAATGAAAATAAATTGTATAGGTTTAATAGCCTACCATTCCATCAGTTTTGACCTGCAATATTTTAATTCTAATTAAATATTAAATTAATAGACTTTACGTGCTGACGCAATTTTTTTCTCTTACACCACTTCTCTCTCCTTTCCCACTGCAGCAGTTTTACTTTTTTTCCTTCTTAAAACCTGTTCATATTCTCCGTATGGCCACATGAAGATATTGATGTATTTCGAGATGGTTAAAGTAGGAGGATCTCTTTATTGTCACCTGTTGCCATGGTGAATCGTAGAATCGGGGCTCCATTCATGTCAAATCTGCTGATCTGGAACCGAAAACTCAGAGTTTCCTACCTGAGGGTAAATCAACTCAGAGCTCAGGGTTAGACTGAGAGTTTGTTCAACCTTCTTTCAGAAACGGGCCCCAGGTCTGTAAGTGACTGCCTCAGAGTCAAACAATGTTTATCAGCAGTCACAGGGGATAATACAATCACTCTTAATGGATGTCAAATCTCGTGACCTCAGGCCACAACCACTGCAAACAACAGCCGTACATTTTCTGGGAGCTCTTTGCCACAATTTGGGGAATACATCATGCATTTTAAATCTCTGCTTACTTCGTTGACATTTCTCTGCCGGCTCCAAAGGTGTATGAAGCATTTACTTCCGGTTAAAAAGACGGACATTGCGTTCGTCCAATCAGCGACAATCCTTGTCGACTGCAGGTACCTACCTTTTCCAGTTTAAGTTAATGTCGTTGTGTTTTTTGATTTGTGTTTTTTGTTTTGTGTTTGTGTTTTTTGATTTGTGGTTGTGTTTTTTGATTTGTGTTTTTTGTTTTGTTTTGTGGTTGTGTTTTCTTCTTTGTTGATGTGTTTTGTGATTTGTCATTGTGTTTTCTTATTTGTTGTTGTGTTTTGCACTTCAGGGCCACCGTATTCCCATATTAAAGATCTAATAAATGAATCCAAAAAAACAGACTCAGTGTGCGAAGGCCTTAAGCCAACATTTTGCTGATTAATGTTTGACACCCAGACGATTTCTTGACTGATGATGCTCGTTTATTTGATAAATGTTAAGTTGGTGATTGTCATGAAAGTGAAAATGTGAAATCAGTTAAATCAGCTCTTTATTTAGAGCTGCCTTCTATCCTGGTTTCTGCAAGGGGGGGGGGGGGGGGGGGGGGGAGTAGAATAATCTTTGTGTCCTTTGAGTGTCAGGTGTGTTCAATGGCGTAGGCGTCACCCAACTTATAGGTTTTAAAGAGGCAGAAGCCGGGTGCTTTTTCAGTTAGGGCACATCTGGTTTCCGAGGACGGTTGATGAATGTTAGGATTCATACCATGCATGAAGTGTGTGTGTGTGTTAGTCTAGCTGCTGTCTGGTACCTGCGCAGTCTGTTGACTTTAAACAACAGGATGGTAAGAGGAAGCTGTCTGTCATGGTTGCTGTTGAAATCACCGCACGCTGAAGAGTTTGTGGACGTTTGAATATGATGAGAACAATTCTTCCTGAAAACAGGGATCATGGTGAACTCCACTCAGGGTTCATACTTCACCTTCAGTGCTTACTCTCACAGTGGCCCCATGAAACATGTCTTCTTCTTCATTGTTCTGCTTTTGTACATGTTGATAGTTTTTGCTAACCTGTTCCTCATCGTGCTGATCAGTGTGACCAGAAGTCTTCATGAACCCATGTACGTCTTCATGTGCAGCCTGTTTGTGAACGAGCTCTTCTGTAGCATGTGGTTGTTTCCTTTTCTTCTGGTTCAGATTCTCTCCGACACTCACAATATCTCTGCCTCCTTTTGTTTCCTGCAGATTTTCTGTGTGTACTCTTATGGAAGTATAGAATATGCCAATTTAGTTATCATGGCTTATGACCGATACCTCGCCATCTGTTTCCCTCTGCAATATAACACACGTATGACCACTTACAGAGTTGTCGTGCTCATTTCTCTGAGTTGGTTGTTTCCGTTTCTTGGAATTATTGTTGTGGTTTCTTTAATCGTCCCTTTACAGTTCTGTGGAAACATCATCAACAAAGTGTACTGTGATAACTATTCCACAGTTAAACTGGCCTGCTCGGACACAACCATTATTAACATCTATGGAATCATGTACGCTTCTTTCATAATCTCCTGTCCTTCATGTGTAATCTTCTACACGTACATGCAGATCCTTAAAGTGTGTTTCTCTGGATCCAAGCAGACGAGACAGAAAGCTTTCAACACCTGCACGCCTCACCTCGCCTCTCTGCTCAACTTCTCTTGTGGGGCTTTCTTTGAAATAATACAGAGCAGGTTTAACATGAGCAGCGTTCCCAACATGTTGAGGATCTTTTTGTCTTTATACTTTCTGACGTGCCAGCCTCTGTTCAACCCCGTCATGTACGGACTCAATATTACTAAAATCCGTAGCACATGTCGAAGTCTTGGGTTGAAATAAGAACATGTAAGCGGACAGCTTTAATAAGATGAGTCTGTGTGTGTCAACACAAAAGACATCTGTAGTTCATGGCTTTCAGAGTCACATTAGACAACAAACATGCCAAGCATTTAATCAGAACTGAGTAAAGAATTTAAGATTAAATATCAATGGATGGATTTCAGTTTGATTGATGTGTTTTGTGTTCTTTGATGAAGAAAAGGAATTCCTCTTTTCTTCAGTATTACCATGTTTTAATTCATAGCTTTCACGTGATGTCACACTGTACCGGGCGCCCCAAGCGGGCTTAAGTGGGCTTTTCAAGCTTAGTTTGAGCTTCCAAATTAAAAATTAAAAATGGTGAAAAAGGTAAAAAAACAAACAATGTCTTTTTTTATTTATTGTTTATTTCAGGTTATAGCACTCAGACTGAAGTTGTGTGGCTTTCACAGAGTTCCACATAGACTGTATTGGGATTTAGCACCAGAACAGATTTTGGATCACATAACAGTTAATCAAAAGCTAATCTGCATCTGTTTTTCAAAATGGGTTTTATCTGTTTTTGCAAATGAACTCTTTAAATATAACTCGCTACTTAGATCAGTTTCTTAACATGCGTGCTTCTCGTTGTTATAGTTTATAGCTTTTAATAAACAGAGCGGTGAGGGTGACGAGCCGATGTGCAGACATATAAGCGCTCTGAACGCACGTTGGAGCAGTTCGGACAGCATCAGCTTGCGATTACAAACTGTTCTAACCTGAGTTGTGTCCCTCCACCTCTGTGCCTAACTGTACCGTCCCTCACTCTTGCTCGTCTCTCCCTTTCAAGCTGTAAACCCACTTCACCGTAACACCGGGTGGGAAGCTTTAAAACTGCTTTTCTCCCTCATTATGCCAAATAAATACATCTAAAGTAAACGGATAGATATGTTTGAATGAAAGCTAGACATGGAGGCATTCGTTAGGACACATAATGTCTGGCAACCTCAGACACGTTCAGCTGAAGGTCACCAGTTAACATGGTCACTCTTTGAACCGTTACACCGGCACGTCATTGCTGTTTCTAGCGATATAAATCGTTTTTTTTAACTTGTCAGGTGATGTAAACATCGACGTTTAGAGGAGATGGAAAATTAAAAAGCCTGTGCTGCAATTTTGCACTTTCTAAATCTCCCTTTTCCCTCCAGCCCTCTGTGCTGGTCACAAATAATTTTCCGATAATATTTGACCGATGAAAGCTGAGAGACATGGCCTTGTTTTGCTGTCATGTCAGGAATGTCTGAATAATCCTGCAGCTGAAAGTCATGGAAACTGTTAGACTGGAACCGTTTCAAACTCTAAACTAACACAAAGTAAACTGAAGAAGTTTAATACTTTGGTATGAAAGCAGGAAATTGAAATGAGGAGCTGCGAGGGACAAGTCTGCATACGTACAACAATGAATAATTAATATAAATACTATAACTGAGATCTTTATGTTCAGTACACTTAGGGCCTAATTTGCTAAGATCCCAAGTAAAGAGTACTAAATTGCGTGTTCACTCCAAAAATTGCACGTTTGGTTAGTGTGCGGTTTGCAGGTGATCTATTAGTAGGCAGCTGTGGCTCAGTTAGTAGAGTCGTTGCCTCTCAACCGGAAGGTCAAGGGTTCGAACTCCCAGGTGGGCAACATGCCCAATGTGTCCTTGGGCAAGATACTTAACCCTGCATTGCTCCTGCTGGTGTATGAATGGATTAGTGTTGTACTAACTCTCTGATGTTTGTCGCTTTGGATAAAGCGTCCGCTAAGTGAATTGTAACATTGTAACATCTACTAAAAGAAATTTCATGAATGACACCAGGAGCAAACCCTGTGGAGGCGGTAGTATTTAAGTTAGGTTTTTGCGTGTTCTACTGGTTTACTTTCGGAGAGTTTGGACGGAAAGCAGGATGACTGCAAGCACAAATTTGGTATCAGTGGAAGAGGCAAACAAAAGTACAATATTTTCGAGTTATAGCAGATAAATCTGAATATTAATATTATTGGCTTTTAAGAAAACCTCGTCATTAAACGGCCTCTCTTTTCTTCCCTCCATCTTTTGAATGATTTGTCATTCATTGCGCAGGAGATGCAAGGTCCTCTGTGGCGCTCAGGCGCGACACTCGGTGCATTGTTGCACACTAGACAGCTGGCCAGCGCTGTGTCTGATCTATAAGATTTATCAAAAAGGAATGTTTTAAGTCTATTCTTATAAGACTCTACCTCCCATAGTACATTTAGAGACTGTAGGTACCACGAGCAGGCCTGATAACTGAAGGCTCTACCTCCCATAGTACATTTAGAGACTGTACCACGAGCAGGCCTGATAACTGAAGGCTCTACCTCCCATAGTACATTTAGAGACTGTAGGTACCACGAGCAGGTCTGATAACTGAAGGCTCTACCACCCATAGTACATTTAGAGACTGTACCACGAGCAGGTCTGATAACTGAAGGCTCTACCTCCCATAGTACATTTAGAGACTGTACCATGAGCAGGTCTGATAACTGAAGGCTCTACCTCCCAAAGTACATTTGGCTTAAATACGATCCAAGTTTATTTTCGACTTAGCTCACTGCAAGCATGCGTCAAGCTGAACAGAATAGAACGACCCAGACGGGAAGTCGGACAATTTCAGAATAAAAGACAATATACAGACTCCTGATCGTATTTTCCATCACTTTATCAATATTATGTCAAACAGGCGCCGAATGAACAACAAATCATAGAGCCCATCAAGATATCCTCTTGGTTTTATCAGGATAAGTTACCCCCTAAATAAAAAAGGAAGAAGACAAAGGAGCATCAGAAACCTCTCTGAAGGCGTACTCACACTCGACCATCTGTACAGTGCCAGAGCATGTTGACCCCCAAAGTCCAGTTCATCCAACGAGTATCAACACTCCATACTGTGCAAGCACACATACACACACACACCTAAACTGATCAATACATAATTGTCAAGTTGGTGTTGGAGAGGACTCTGACTGCAGCGTTCTGATGGGTTTTTTTGTCCGTCCTGTGGAAACACCATCACAATAATGCTGCCTGCTGAAAATGAAAGCAAAAAGTTTTTCTGAGGTCCTTAGAGGTCTGCAACCCGACCTGAGCCCTATGGAACCCACGGCCCGACTTCGGGTTGGGGCCGGTAGGGCTTTTCAAATACATAATCCGGGCTCATCGAGTGCTGCTGGAGAATTGGGCCCTGGGTACGTTGCTGTGAGCCAACCAGACCCTTGTACCTATTATTGAAATCTTACTTACATTCCTATTCTATTTGATTAAAATTTTGATTAATATATTTCTACTGCTATATTGTATTCTTTGGAGCAACTGTATTTTTTTTTATTCCCTCTGGGTTAATAAAGTATTGCTGATTCTGATTCTGGTGACCAAAGTGGGAGCTGTGTCCGGATCCTGGGCACAAAGTCAGACACGTTCCCGGTGCCTGTTGGCCTTCGTCAGGGTTGCCCCTTGACACTATTCTGTTTGTGATTGTCATGGAGAGGATCTCAAAGCGCAGCCTGGGGAAGGAGGGTTTCCAGTTTGGGGGCTTCAAAATCTAATTTCTGCTTTTTGCAGATGATGTGGTTTTGTTGGCTTCCTCATGCCGGGACCTCCAGCAGGCCTTGGGTCCGAGTCTCCAAGACAGAGGACAGGGTTCTCTGCCAGAAAATAGTGGCTTGCTCTCTCCGGGTGGGGATTGAATCCTTGCCTTAAGTGAAGGATTTTAAGTATCTCTGGGTCTGTGAGGGTGAGGGTAAGATGGACGGTGAGATCGACGGACAGATTGGTTTAGAGTCAGCAGTAATGCATCTCTGGCCGGACCATTATGGTAATCAGGGAACTGAGCCTGAAGGCAAAGCTTTTGATTTACCGGCCGATCTTTGTTCCACCCCTCACCTCTGGTCATGACCTTTGGGTAGTGACCGGACAGAACGTGCACTCGCTCGGGTTGGTTCGGGCTGGATTTCATGGACCAGAGCCATGCTCTATTTGAGATGGTAATAGACAGGTTTAGTAACTGTCTTTATTGTAGCTGTTCAAAAAGGCTGAGTTGTAGTAAACAAACGTGAGATGTCTGAACTGCTCTTAATATCAGACAAGTTGAAGATTTTCACACTAACCCAGTGCCACCAGATACGTGTGCATTGCGTGTCGGTTCTGCTCCGTTAGGGCTCCGTGCTCCGTCGTCCATCAACACCCACAGGCTGTGTTCTCAAGGCAGAGCACGGAGCAGCACTGCCGGACAGCTGGAGTGCCGAGACGAAAGGGTTCCCGCGGTAATCACAGAATCACAACACAATAGTTGTTTTGGACCAAACAGTTCTGGGACCTATTTTGACGAGGAACTATCCACCAGGGAGTTCCCTGAGAACTCCACATATGTCACACTCACAGTTACACTGAAACTCTGTAAAACCGTTATAAACACACATAAGGCTATTGTTCTTAACCATCAAAAGAGTCTTTTATTCTGAACAAAACAAACGGCACACACACTGAATAAAGTTAAAACCTATCAGCTCTGCTAAAGGTGACGGAGCGGAGATGGACTGAACGCATTGATCTGGTGGAGTTTAGGGGTGAATCAGAATGTTTCTGAGAAAGTGCATTGACAGTACTCCTCTTTTTTAACCTGGGAAATGAATCACTAAGATAAGGGCGGTAAGAAGAACAGGATCTTATCTTATCACATAATCGCAGTGATGCTAACTCACAAAGACAATCGGCCCCAAGGATTTCAAACCATTTAATTCTTGGCCAACCTTTAATACTCACATTTAATACAAATCTAAGACAGTATTGTTTACCATAGTCAGTTTTATAAGAACTACAGAATCTAGGAAAAAGCTGTTGTTACATTTTACCAAAGAGCAGACTTTTACAAAGGATGCGGATTCTGGTCAAGTTGAGCCCGTACAGGACGGGGTTGAAGAGCGGCTGACACGTGAGCCAGTACAGAGATAGAAACACACGCAACATATAAGGTATGTGTTTCATGTCAAACCTGCTCTGGACGATCTCAAAGAAACAGCCGCAGGAGAAGTTGAGCAGAGAGGCAAGGTGAGGCGTGCAGGTGCTGACGGCTTTCTGCCTCGTCTGCTTGGATCCACAGAAACACACGTGGAGGATCCTTGTGTACGTGTAAAAGATTAAAATGACGACACAAATTGTCACAACTGTGTAAATGAGTCCGTAGATGTTATTAACAGTGGTGTCAGTGCACGCCAGTTTGACGATGGAGTAGTTATCACAGTACACTTTGTTGATGACGTTCCCACACAGCTGCAGAGAGGCGCTCAGACATATCAAAACAGTGATGGCAACAAACGGGTATAACCACGTCAGAGCAATAAGGAAGGCCACTTTGTTGGATGTCATGAGTGTGTTATACTGCAGAGGGAAACAGATGGCGAGGTATCTGTCGTAAGACATGACGGCTAGATTACAAAACTCAACATTTGCATATGAGTAGACACAGAAGATCTGCAGGAAACAGAAAGGAGCAGACACAGTGTGAACGTCTAAAAGAATCTGAACCAGGAGGAGAGGAAACAAACCTGTGCTACCATACAGCTGGTTCACAAACAGGCTGCACAGGAAGATGTACATGGGTTCATGAAGACTTCTGTTCACACAGATCACCACAACAAGCACAAGATTGGCTAAAACAATCAACACGTATAAAGACATAATAACCATGAAAGATAAGTACTCCAAGGTGCCGTTGTCAAAGTAGGCGCTGAGAGTGAAAGAAGAAAACACAGTGGAGTTAATCATCGATCTTTGAGTTTTCACTTTCAGAAGCAGGAGTAACTGTGTCTTATGTTTCTTTGGTGGTGGACTGTTTAAAATCACAGACAAGGTGACAGCTTCTCTCCACATGCCATGCTCTCATCAAAGATGAATGTAAAGATAACACAAACCACTACACAGAGTTCAGACTTCTACATTCTGTGCTCACTCCTGTGATTTCAAACTGAGCTGGACACTTTCTTCGCTTCTTTAAAAATAAAACGAGAGCCGAAGCAACAATTTAAATCGTAAAACTTCACATTTAAATGGTCAGCTAATTTAATCAGTACAAATGAGTTGGTTCAATGAGCAGATACAGAGATGACACAGAGTCAGTCCTGGACACCAGATTTGTTGTTAGTAATGAAGAATAAAGGACACTTCACCACCTAAAGAGCACAGCAGCATCATGCAGTGAAACACACATTTACAACAGGACCCAAACAGGGCCGGGTGTTTACCTGCTACACGACACTGAGACACTAACAGGCTCCTGTTAGCACTCAGTTCATCTCTGCACGTAATGTCTTAAATAGTGTTTAATGTCTTCTCAGCCCTGAATGTGTCTTTTGGGGTCGTGGTGACGTGTTAAAGCCTTGAAGATGAGGTAATGCTTGAGTTCTCTAATAAGTGTGTGTACATGTGTACACCTGTGTACTTTTGATCATATGTGTTTATGTGTGCACTTATTATTTCCTCAAGTAAAACCTTCCAAACACTAGCAGAGTTTTAAAAACATTCAAAGACTTTTTGGATGTAACATGAATCTACCTCATGTTTACTTCAGCATCCCTTGCACTATTCACCACTGCACTTTTATCTTATAATATCCTATTTAGCCTTTGTACAAAGAGAGCACAGTTTACCAAAGTTAAATTCCTTGTGTGTTTAAGCATACCTGGCCAATAAAGCTGATTCTGATGAATCAATTATTGAAATATTAATTATTGAAATTGCCAGACAAGCCGATAGATAGATAGATAGTAAGATAGATACTTTAGGCCGAATACGGAGTTGAGGGTGAGGAGGCCGAGTACGGAGCTGAGGGTGAGGAGGCCGAGTACAGAGTTGAGGGTGAGGAGCCTGAGTATGGAGCTGAGGGTGAGGAGGCCGAGTACGGAGCTGATGGTGAGGAGGCTGAGTACGGAGCTGAGGGTGAGGAGGCTGAGTACGGAGTTGAGGGTGAGGAGCCTGAGTACGGAGCTGAGGGTGAGGAGGCCGAGTACGGAGTTGAGGGTGAGGAGGCCGAGTATGGAGTTGAGGGTGAGGAGGCCGAGTACGGAGTTGAGGGTGAGGGGGCTGAGTACAGAGCTGTACAGAGCATGCAAAGAGACGCTCTTTGCTGTTCATGGCTTCTATTTATGCCGGATGCCGGAGCATGGAGCTTTAATTTAGCACAGAAAAGAACGAGGGAAGTCAGACACCAAAACAACATTCAAACATTCGGTTTCTTTTCAGAATAAAACAGACGGTGTTGACGGTTCAGAACAATGACCTTATGTGTGTTTGTTTTTGTGTTTATAGAGTTTTATACCACATACATCATACTATCTTGGGCTGGAGCCAGTGAATCTGTACCGCTTGGATGCAATACTCAAGCTGTCTGACGATGCTCTCCATGTTGCGCGATTTGAGAATGCAGCCTGTGGGTGTTGACGGACGAGGGAGCACGGAGGCGTAACGGACCAGAGCGGACACACAATGCACACGTATCTGGTGGAAGTCCTGGGTTAGTGTGGACCATTTTGTAAATAATATAAACAGTCTATGTTGTGGACCCTCGGCAAACACCGGGCCAGTACGTGTGACTCCCCAGGAGCTGACTATCATGAGTGTTTTCCGGCAGCGTGCACTGAGCTTATGATGGTGAAACGTTTAATTCTAGTTTGTCATGTTCTAACAATAAAGAATCTGGTTCCTTCATCTTTCACTCAGGAGCAAAAATCGGCCTGTAAATTTAAAAGAAATAATGATTTAACATTTATTGTGATAATTATCGATATCGACTGATATAACATTTTTGATCCTGATAACATTTATTGTCATTTCGCCCAGGCCCAGTTTGGACGAAATCTCTCTCCGGATATGGACGGTGGTTATTGTCGCTGTGGCTGTTTGTCAGCCCTGTGATAGGCTGACATTCAATTTGTGCCTCTTCGATCAGTTTAATAATTAAACATCAGTGTCAATCATAATGAGGTCCCTCTGTTGCTGCGGTGGTTCTCTTTAAAAGAAATCGACTCAGGATCTCAGTTCAGAGGGACTCCTTCCCTTCAGCAGCACGACGTCATGTCTCAGAAGGAACGCTGGTAAGATCTGACCTGTCAGGACATGGGCTTGTTGGTTGAAGATGTTTTTTATGGGGATGAATCTGTTCAGTATTATGTCTCTGACTCCTGTTCATGTCTGCTTTATGTTGCATTTCATGCCAACTCAGTCTGAGTTTAATCCAGTAAAATCTCTACAGGTCCTAAAGGAAAGGTAATGTGATCATGATGAACTCCACACAAGTTTCATATTTCACACTCGCAGCCTATTTTGACACAGGTATCTTTAAATATGTGCATTTCATGGTTATTCTGTCTGTATATATCTTTATTGTCTGTGCCAACTCTTTGCTCATTGTGGTGATCTGTGTGAACAGAAGTCTTCATGAACCCATGTACATCTTCCTGTGCAGCCTGTTTGTGAACCAGCTGTATGGTAGCACAGGTTTGTTTCCTCTCCTCCTAATTCAGATTCTCTCAGACGTTCACACTGTGTCGGCTCCTCTCTGTTTCCTGCAGATTTTTTGTGTGCACTCTTATGGGGCTGTTGAGTATTTAAACTTAGCCGTCATGTCTTATGACAGATTTCTTGCTATCTGTTATCCTCTACAATATAACACACGTATGACTTATAGAAAGATTGCCGTGCTCATAGCTGTGACGTGGATATACCCGTGTTTAGCGATGGTTGTTTTGTTATCTCTGAGTTCTCCTTTGCAGTTGTGTGGCAACGTCATTAACAAAGTTTACTGTGATACACACTCAGTGGTCAAGCTCGCATGCACCGACACAGCTGGAGTTAACATGTATGGACTCGTTGCCACTTTTAGCACAATCTTTGGTTCTTTACTCTTAATTCTTTACACATACATGAGAATCTTTCTGGTGTGTTTCTCTGGATCCAAACAGACGAGACAGAAAGCTGTCAGCACCTGTACACCTCACCTCGCGTCCCTCTTCAACTTTTCGTTTGGGGCTTGTTTTGAAATATTACAGAGCAGGTTTAATATGAACAATGTACCGAATACACTGCGGATATTCTTATCTCTATACTTCCTTACATGTCAGCCACTTTTCAACCCTGTGATGTATGGACTCAAACTGTCCAAGATCTGTGTGATGTGTAAAAGCCTGATATCAAAAGCATCACAGAATATAAAGTCCTGCAAAATCTTCTATCGATAAATGTGATATCGTCTTTCCTTTGAGGCCTCCCTCTCGAATGCTGCAGTAACATCTGAACCCTTCTTCTGGAATCAATATCAACATTGTGTTTCTCTTTTTTTTGTTTTTGTAGTGAGAAAACAACACATGCAACACATTTGACCTAGATAGTACCTGCATGATGATTCTAAAGTTGATCATACCACTGGACCATTTTGATTCCCCTTACTCATCCAGTATACTTGAAAACCTGTTTTTATTTTCTCTGGGCCAGGGACCCACTGAGCCCTTAACTCCCCCTTAACATCTGCCTGGAGCTGCAAAACATATTAAAACCTTAGTGAAGGTATTCAAGTCAATAACTGCAGACCTGAATGAGAAGGAGAATTCATGGATATGATTTACCACATCACATAACTTAACTTCTCTCCGTTGGGCGGTGTTACTTTGGTCGATTTAACCGAACACTTTCATTTCGATAGTTCCATATTTTGATGTATTTATGTAATAAGAAAGAAAGACAACCGTGTACATATTGTGTTATTTGAATAGGGAGTGTATTATCAGTAAATTATGATCAGTAGTTTAATTATTTATGCACCCTCACAACAACACACATTTTCAGACAGTTCATGCCGTTTAGCGTTCACCTATAACGGACACCATCTCTACTTCATCTCTCTCTTTCCATCACACGCTGTCCGTCCGTCTCCATCCGTCCGTCTCCATAACTTACAGAAATGCGGTGGGAACAGATGCGTTAAGGCCTCGTTACTAACATCGAGTTATAAATCAATGTTACTACAGTGGTAACTGCAGTGGTTAGTGTGTGCGCCCCATGTATGGAGGCTGTAGTCCTCCAAGTGGGGGGCCTGGGTTCAAATCCGACCTGTGGCTCCTTTCCCGCATGTCATTCCCCTCTCTCTCTCTCCCTGATGTCTGTCTCTATCCACTGTCCTGTCTCTCCATTAAAAGCACAAAAAAAAGAAAAAAAAAAGAAGTGAAATAGTTTGTAAATAAAATGAACACTGTAATGCTTCAAGCAAGAAGTTTGGGACCTTTTGGGGGTCATATTTCATAACCTAAATACTGAAGGCCAATAACCACTCCTAAATCCCATATACTCTGTGCACGCCACGGTCCGTCATTGGGTCCTTTTCAGGAACATGAGCGCAGCCATGAGCAGCTGTACACAAATCACAGAGAACTACAAGAACACAGGAGAACTACAAGATTTTTTTTTTTGAAATTGACCGGACGCTCTGTGTGTTTCCTGTCCGAGTCGATCTATTCTGTCAAGCTTGAAGAACAGAATAGAGCTCCGATGAAAATAGACTTGTAGCGTACTTGAAACAGAGCAAAGTGTAGTGGCGCTACTGTCACGCCTCAAGGAGTAGCGGCTCTAATCTGAGCTCCCTCCAGATGTCCAAGATCCTCATCCTATCTCTAAGGCTGAGCCCAGCCACCCTGTGTAGGAAACTTGTTTTAGCCACTTGTATCCGCAATCTTATTCATTCTATTATACTTCTTTCTTATTCTTTACATATTCTTCCCACTCGTGAACAAGACCCTGATACACTTTAAGTCCTTCAGTTGAAGCAGGGACTCACTCCCCACCTGGAGGGAGCAATCCATCATTTTATGGCAGAGAACCATGGCCTTGGACTTGGAGGTGCTGACCTGCATACCCATTCGCTCCACACTCGGCTGAAAATGGCTCTAATGCCTGCTTGAAGTCACAGCATAAAGCAGTTAACAGAACAACACTATTTGCAAAGACCAGAGATCAAATTCTGAGTTTCTAAAACCGGAAACCCTCCTTCCACCGGCTGTGCCTTGAGATACTGTCCATGAAAAACACAAACAGAGCCAGAAACAAGGGACCACAGAGAACCACTATCATGTCTTCTCCAGGTCTAAAAAACACATGTAGACTGGATGAGCAAACTCCCATGCCCAACCCAAGAAGCCCTGCGAGGGTTCGACAATCGGCCAGGGCCTACTTTCTAGCACAATGGAATCAAATTTTCTCAGTTGGCTGAGTAGTGTGATACCTCGATAGTTAGAGCACACCCTCTGCCGCCCTGGTCTGCCATTCCACAGGCACTGTCACTATGGGACATTGAAGAGGCGTGTCAGCCAAGACAGCCCAACAATGTCCACAGCCTTAGAGTGAATCTCATCAACACCTAGCGCTCTGCCTCTGAGGAGCTTTTTGACTACCTGATCGACCTCTGACAAGGATGTTGGAGAGACTTCCCCTGGATCATCAGACTCTGCCTCCTCATCAGAGGATGTGTTGGTTGGGTTCAGGAGTTCCTCAAAGTGTTCCTTCATGGAGTTGGTTCAGGGTTAATTCACTAAAACATGATGATTTGGTTTGGTTTGATGCGATCTGATAAGAGATGATAACAGAATACCAAATTATATTTTACTTTCATATAACTGAGAACAAATACAAGAAAATAAATCATTTCAAAATAACATGGGTTGGGTCATCGACCTTCAATCACTCATACATTTTAACTGATCAGGGCTCCGCGGACTGATGCACTCAGACTCAGACAGTTATGTCAGTTACCGGTTTGAATATTTCAAACTTTACACCCCTAGATGGAATTAATAATGGAAAGAATTTACAGACATACCGTCTTTAAGGATATGAAAGAAACCTGTTTATTTAGTGTTGAGCATAGAGGAGTGGCTCTAGTGAGAAATCTATTTTGATGACGTAAACATTTGATGACATGTAAAAAATGTTCTCTCACGTCCTCTGTCTTATAAAAACATGACACTGCAGGTTTCAGCTCAGTCAGGAGGGTACGACGGCAGCAAGACAGGTGAATGATTAACTTCAAACATACGAGTCATGACTCACATGCGTTTAAGAAAAGGGCCTGTCAGGGTGGTGTGCATTCACTGTTTACATGACCAATGTTCAGGTTTGTGTACTTGTGAATTTTATGAGCGTGATGTTGCAGGTGCACGTTTTGAAACACAGGCATATGTTTAAAATATTTAAAAAGGTGAAATTATAACTTCCAGTTTTGATTAAGTGAGATATGACGTCTGCTTTGTGTGCAGTGCAGTGGTTGTGATTCAGAAAGGGGGTTGTGATATACTCTACATCACTTTAAATATATTTGAACTATTACTGCTTAATTGTTTTGACATTAAGATGGTCTGATCAAATGTTCAGTGTGTATTGTTACATCATTATAAAATATTGTTTTCTAAGAACCCACTGTTAAAGTAGGTAGTTTCACATGATGAGTATCAGAGCATGTCAATGACGTCTTTCTAACACCGACATCTGTTCCAGCTTGGTCTTTAAACTTTAAGTTACATTAATAGTTGTTTGTAACTCAATTACCGGTCCGTGTTAACGGGAGGAGGATGATGATGAACTCCACACAGGTTTTATATTTCATTCTTATAGCTTACTTTGACACCGGTCCTTTGAAATATTTGTACTTTATGATTGTCCTGTTTTTTTACACCCTCATTATTAGTTTCAATGTATTTCTCATCGTGGTGATCTGTATGAACAGAAGTCTTCATGAACCCATGTACATCTTCCTGTGCAGCCTGTTTGTAAATGAGCTGTTTGGTAGCACAGGTTTGTTTCCTTTCCTCCTGGTTCAAATTCTCTCAGACGTTCACACTGTGTCTGCCTCGGTTTGTTACCTGCAGATCTTCTGTGTCTACTCGTATGGAAAAGTTGAATTTTTTAATTTAGCCATCATATCTTATGACAGATACCTTGCTATTTGTTATCCCCTACACTATAACAGGCATATGACTTTCATCAGAGTAATCATAGTTATTGCTCTGATTTGGTTTCTCTCGTTTGTACTGAATATTTACGCATTAGTGGCATTAATTTCTTTACGACTGTGTGGAAACATCTTAAACAAAGTGCACTGTCCCAGCTTCTCTATTGTCAAACTGGCCTGCTCTGACACACGGCACCATGACCTTTACGGCCTTGTTGTCAGTTCCTTCTCTGTCTATGTTCCTTTGCTTATCATCCTGTACACGTACATGAAGATCCTTCATGTGTGTTTCTCTGGATCCAAACAGACCCGACATAAAGCTGTCAGCACCTGCACACCTCACCTCGCCTCTCTGCTCAACTTCTCCTTTGGTGTTTGTTTTGAAATATTACAGAGCAGGTATAATATGAACAATGTACCGAATATACTGAGAATATTATTATCTCTATACTTTCTTACATGCCCGCCACTTTTCAACCCCATCATGTATGGACTGAAATTATCCAAAATCCGCGTGATATGTAAAAGTATGATCTAGAAATGTGTCTTTTTAGGTGTTCATCTTATAAATGTGGTTACAACTCTGATCCATAACTCTGAATTCTGTTTAAATAAAAAGACATGAAAGATATTTGATGGGCTCCAGTCTCTCTGTCGTTAGTGATGGGAATATTATAACAAAGGTGAGCAACACTTAAGGTTACACTGGTAGTCACCATCAATCAATCAATCCATATTTGTACAGTGCCAATTCATAACAAAAGTTAACTTGAGACACTTCCAACATTATACAACAATGAGTAAGGTCTTTAACATGTTCTTTAATATAACAATGAGTAAGGTCTTTAACATGTTCTTTAATATAACAATGAGTAAGGTCTTTAACATGTTCTTTAATATAACAATGAGTAAGGTCTTTTACCTGTTCTTTAATATAACAATGAGTAAAGTCTTTTACCTGTTCTTTAATATAACAATGAGAAACTAATGTGATCCAGGTTGTTCCTGCTTTAAACGCAGGTTAATATGACACATTGTGTTAGAATCACCTCTGTCAGATTGACCAGCAACTGAAAAGACAAACCTCTGCGTTCGATCATTTCATGTCTGTAATAGATTTTTCTCGGCCCTGAACACCGGATGCTTGACTGTCACTGAAAGCACCAACAAGAAGACATCTTCCAAACCATAACTGTTATTAACACTACCTTATTTTGACATTGAAAGTTAATGTTTGATGTTTTATTGGTAACATTAAATAAATGAAAAGGATTGAAAGCAGAGTAGTCATTCTAAAAGTTGATCTGGGGAGAGGAAGTTAACACTTTTTGTAGTTTAATGATTAAACACCTTTTAAATTTAAACTCTTGATATCTTCAATGTCTTACTTTGCTCAAGTCTTAACTTTTAAAACTTTGAGTTCATCAAAGAAAACATTTGTATGTTGGTTTGTACTGAGGGGCATAAACAACTTCAGTGAAAGCCTGAAACATCTCTGTTTTAGCAGTAACCGCGGCAACAGCATAGAGTCCTCCCACAGCTACCTGTGATCTGGAGAGTGCTAATGATCCTGTTTGTGAAGCTGATTACAGCCTCCACGGTGTCCAAGTGTCCACACAGATGTCTCTGGGGTCGGCCTGGTGTGGAGCTGCAGATAGAAATATCTGCTGATGAGGACAGGAGCTCCTCTGAGGCTCGTTAATGTGAACTGATACTGTAAACATGATGAAACCTCTCATCTGAGTCCCAGTGCCCTCTCTCTGTCCACATTACATGGACCAGACAATGACCTGAGGTGTAATGTTTATGATCTATTCAGAAAGTTTTTAACTTCTTTACCTGAAGGCCTTTGTGAAAAAGTACCCCTCCTGCACTTCCCCCCAGTCTGACAGCCCTTAAAGGAAGAATGTGGGGGTGCGCTGGTGGTGCAATGGTTAGGGTGCGCGCCCCATGCATTGAGGCTGTCGTCTCAAGCGGGCGGCCCGGGCTCGCAACCTGCCTGTGGCCTTCCCCCCGCATGCCGCCCCCCACCCTCCCTCCCTGGTCTCCGGCTCCATGTACTGTCTGTCTCTCCATTAAAGGCACAAAAGCCCAAAATAAATCTTTAAAAAAAAAAAAAGAAAGGAGGAATGTGAAACATTTTCCAAATATATATATATCAGACATCAAGTCTGTCCTGTGTAAATGTGTCTCTGAGTCCTGACTGTCTACAATGAGGGAGAAGCTCGAGTCCCGCTGGCTGTGTTGTTGTCAGAGCCGTGTTTACATGGACGGGACGGCCGGCTCCTCCCCTTGTGTATAAAAGCTGTTTTAGTCAAGAACTAGAGAGAAGAAGAAGAACATACTCACTGATTATTTGGATGTGAGTAAGAGTTTTTAGATCACGCTCATTCTGTGTATATTTACACGAGTGGCCCTGACTACAACACTACCATGACCTTCAGGAGCTACGAGGCCTCAGGAGCTGTACTCTCAAAGCATGAAGACGCTGGTTTGGAGGACATACTTAAAAACTACAACATACAATTACAGCCAACATCTATTATGAATAAACACAAAGTGTCTGGTTTAACACAGATTAAGAGAACTTTAGCTTTTTATGATCAATAAGGCTCGGTCTTCGGAATTTGCCGACCAAGCTTGAATGGTCCACGCCAAAGAGATGAGCTTTGGGCGGTGTTGTCATAACTTTGAAGATGTGCTATGTTTAAAGTAACAGCAACATTTTTCGATGCAGAAATGTAAACACAACATTCAAAGTGGGCCCCTCCTCCTGGGCTCATCGCCCTCAGAAGCTCACCCAAACTGCAGGATGTAGTGTGTACGTTTACTGCTTGTAGCTACACTGCAAGCTAACGCACGCTAGCAGAAGCTAACCGCCGGTGTTTGTCACCTTCCTGTCCAACAGGAAGTAGACCAACTCCACGTCCACGGGTAAAAGACAACACAAGGTTCACCCTCATTTTAGAACAAGCTTTATCCTCTTGGTGTTTCTCCTCACTCTGATTATATTTTCTCTTCTTTGCTGCTACGTCCACGTCCGTCATATTCACTGCTTTGAATCTCGTCCAATCACTGAATTGTATCCACTCCTAAACTCACCATGTCTCTGGGCCAGAAACCCAGAAATGTCCAGAGTCAGCCAGAACAAAGCAGAACAGTAAAATCCAGTCAGAGGACAGAGTCTCTGCAGACACAGTCACCACCACACATGTATGGAGGCCCAGAAGGGACAATGGAGCAGCTTCACTTTAGTGTTAGCTGCTGACTCTATGTTTAACAATATGTATTTCTCACTTGTGAAATTTTCAGAAGGCTTAGAAAAATGTTTACTACCAAACAAACTAATATTGACCCAAACAAAAAACATTAAAGGGGATAATCATTGGTTGCTAACTTACACCCTGGGTGCCTCTTTGTAACTGAACAAAATAAGCACAACAGGTTTTTAGGTTAGGTCCAATACCAAGCTCTGTGCAAGCTCTGATCATCTGGGCACCACAGCGCAGTCTGAAACTCTTCATAAAGGCGATTAATGTAAAAATTCAACAATTGATTTGTTCATTTTGGGGTTGAATATCTCAGTTGTGGGAAAAGCTTGTAAGCTGGCACGCGGTTAACCTTTCACACCTGCCGGACTTGTAAACAATCTTAACTGTGGTTTTAAAAAAAGGACGAAAATCATCTTGGTTGGTGTTTTTTAGGGGCTCTGATGGTGCTGCTCATTGAGGTTCTCAGTCAGTGGTTTCGGACTTTGTGCAGCCAATAGCAGCATCAGACAGAGGGTATTAAAGTGCTGAGTCAGCGCTCAACAGAGACAGGTAGACAGAGGGATGGATGAAGGAGAATCAGCTGCTGACACATAGAACAGGTAACTCTGATGACTTCTTTTAGTTATAGTTAAACAGCTCAGCAGGATTGAGTGCTGAAAGCGGATTTCTTTAGACACCATTTGAACATTTGCACTCTGACACCTTGGCACTGCACACTTTGATATCTTTTAAATCTAAGCTACATTTTTGGATATAAATATATTTAATCTTTAGCCTTATATTTCTATATATTATATATATATATTGTGGTTTTAATGCATGGCCTTACGAAGCAGGGGTTATCATTTTCTAATCCATCTGTATGAGCATTTGAACATACTGAAGAGATTGTTTCACCGCTGACTGTTTATAGAAAGCTCCCTATAAAGTGTTCTTCTTATATATCTTTAATCACATCTGTTTGTTGAAGGCCTTCTCCCCCCCTCCCCGTACTTTCATCTCTGGAAACCAGAGGTCAGTTAAAGGAATTATTTTTCTGTCTCTGATGTGTGTGAGGATTCAGTGTCATTCTATAATTTACTGAGTTATTAACGAGTACTAATACATGATGATGATTGCTCCATAAAGACAGACGCAAAGGCTCGTATAGCTTTTAATGACTTATGATATGAACAGCAGTGAGCTTCAGATGATCGACTCTGCCACTCAGTTCAAACCACGATACCTTTCCTGAATCATGACCAAGTGTTTAACCTCCTCCGTGCACACATGAGAATTTAATCTACCAACCTCTTTCTGAATGTAGTCTTAAAATGTGATGTACAGCGCAGCCTAGAATATCTTTGTTATATTTTTTTTATCTATTACTGTACATCTTGCCTGGCCCTCATGTGTGTCATTGTCCAAAGAGACCACATGAGGGTGCCAGCGCTCATCTTTGTCAAGCACTGCTACAACTGTTTTCTTTGTTGTCTCTGACAAAATCCATCTGTTGTTTGTTTGTAAATGTATGCATGGTCTGGCTGGAGGGTCTGGCTGGAGGGTCTGGGTGGACGGTCTGGGTGTAGGGTCTGGATGGAGGGTCTGGATGGAGGGTCTGGGTGCATGGTCTGGGTGGAGGGTCTGGGTGGAGGGTCTGGGTGTAGGGTCTGGGTGCATGGTCTGGGTGGAGGGTCTGGGTGGAGGGTCTGGGTGGAGGGTCTGGGTGCATGGTCTGGGTGGAGGGTCTGGGTGTAGGGTCTGGATGGAATCCTTACAAAGAAAGTTAACACATAAAAACCGCAAAATTGTTGAACGTAGCCATCATCAGAACCCGACCTGAAATGAAGGTTACTCTGAAAGGTGGTGTTATTGGTGGTTGTGTTAATGTAGTGGTCACTGCAGACTGTTAGGAGAGACGGATATTTGTGTGTGTGATCAGCTCCAGCAGTTTGCGAGACACATTCTGGAACAGCTTCCGTCAGTGTAGTCCAATGACGAGTGCCACCTCATAGTCGCACGTGTGGATGTGATGTTAGGTTTCATCAAAACTGTGAGAGAGAAACTGGAATATGATCCAAAGTGATAAACTCACTGTAAAGGCAGAAGAGGTCCCCCACTCCATACTCTAGTTTGTAACTTTGAATGTCTTATTCAGAGTTTGTAGAAAGCCAGCGCAGCAATGTCCCTCACAGACATAGGCGTAGATTTCGGGGGGGGACGCAGGGGATGTGTCCCCCCCAATATTTGGAAAAGGTAGTCCCCCTCAAAAAAAAAAAAAAAAAAAATGTAAAGGTCAAAAAAAGAGGTAATGAAAAACATTTCGGGGGACTCAAAACATTTATCTATCCTTCTGACCTGTAAATAAATTTCCCAATCATTTCAGACACCCCTATAGTGGACCATACCATCTTAACCTTGCCGCACAGTCACACACAGGCATGTTACTTTCGTTCACGCATGGTCAATGGTTCAGGTCTGGTCAGGTTAGGAGTCGTGGTCTTTATACAGTCTATGGTCGCGCGCACAGACAGTAACAAGACAAAGCAAGAGCAACAGGTTGGTGTTTGCATTAGTGTCCCATTAACTGTATAGAGGTGACACCACAAAGTATACGAGTTAATGCCCGACGAGGTGTCCAATTATCAGTAATGAATGGACAACGTGGAGGCGAGAACTGTCTGACGCGCAGTCGGACAGAGAGCTTCTGAACACAGAGAGCTTCTGAACCAACATAACTAAATAACATTGTTTAAGTTATCACTCATTTAACTTTTAACCATGATTTAGGCTGTTGATTAAGGGTTAAGTGTTAAACAACACAGAACAGACGTCCCTAAAGTCCGCTGTCATTGTGATGTTTGGCAGTGTTACGTTATTGCTTTATTCATTGTGTAATTGTTCTGTCCTCTGCCTGCCAACATTTTAATAAAAACAGCAGGCTATAAATCTACATGCCTTGATGATATTATTCTTTATATAGCCTGCCTATCAATTGATTTTAAGTGCAATAAACACGGACAATATCCGACCGCATTTTTTCCAAATAGTGAGTGATAGATTAGTCAGCCATAACAATGGCTTTTATGTAGTTTTAAATTTTGGATACTAAGGCTATAACAAGGTGTCATTCTCGAATAGATTTGATTTGAGATGTACAAGATTCCTAAAAAAACATCCCAAAACACCTGTAATGTTTTGAATATGCAAAAAGTTATGAACAATACAGTTGAATAATTAATAGTAATTCAAAAATAATTATAATTTCCTATACATAGTAAAGAAATTTCCGCTATGAATTAATTCAGAAAAGGCACAAATTGTTGCATAAAAATTCACCAGAATGCAGGAAATGAAGTGTTTGACGCTCAAAATTCTCTGGGGGGGAACCCCCAAACCCCCTGCTGAAAATTTGTCCCCCCCAATGTTGAATCCAAACCTATGCCCTTGCTCACAGAAACACGACTCAGCAGCTATGGAGATGTGAAATAACTTTTCAATGTTTCTCTGTTTTCAGGACGATCAAATTCAAACCTGCACAAGTCAGTTTCAAGAAGAGGGAGGATGGAGCCACTAAGAGGAAATGAGTCTTTTCACAAATATTTCATCCTCAACAGTTTTAATGAACTTGGTGCCCTGAGGCCGGTCCTCTTCTTCCCTTTCTTCATCATGTTCGTCCTGTCACTGTTGGCTAACTCCCTGCTGCTGTACGTCATCATATCACAGAGAAGCCTCCACTCACCGATGTACATCCTCATCGCCGGCATGGCCTGCGTGGATCTGAGCCTTCCACTGTTCTTCGTTCCCAACATGCTGCTGAACTTCCTGTTTGACTGGAGGGGAATCTCTCTGATTGGCTGCCTTGTTCAGATGTATTTCATTCACTTTTTTGGAGCTTTTCAGTCCACGTTGTTGGTTTGGATGGCCCTGGACCGATACTTTGCCATCTGCACTCCACTCTACTACCATGAACACATGGCTTTACCCAGGTTTCTCAAGTTTGTGATCCCTCTTCTGATCAGAAATGTCTTCATGGTCTCACTTGTAGTAAGTTTGGCAGGATTATTACCATTCTGTCTCAGAAATGTGATAGACCACTGTTTCTGTGAGCACATGGCCTTGGTGGAGCTGGCCTGTGGAAGCACCATCGTCAACAGTCTGGTGGGGTTGATCTCTGTGTTCCTTATCCCTGTGGCAGACTTCATCATTATCGCTGTCTCCTACATCATCATATTCAGCTCTGTGCTGAGGTCTGGAAAGTCAAGGGTCAAAGCTCTCCACACCTGTGTGACCCACATTGTGGTCAACACTGTCAGTCTATCCATCATACTCATAGCATTCCTGTCCTATCGGATCAGAAATGGTCTCCCTGCAGCCATTCGGGTTTTCATCAGTATCATGTATCTGTTCTTTCCGAGCTGTTTCAACCCCATCATCTATGGCATGAGAACAGCTGAGATAAGACAGCACATTGTGAAGATGCTCTCATGGTATAACTTTGTCCAAACTGGCCCCAATTCTTTACAAAACTATTAAAACGTCTGCAAAAAGAAATGTATCGGTTGTTGTATCGACAGTGCTAGTCAACACAATATGGTGAGTTCCCCACCCTCTCTTTTTCCTAAAGTCTCTAGGGCTGAGAGTTAGTGTATTCATTAACATCAACCTTTGTATCAACCTTGATACAAAGGCAATACTTCTGATTACAGCATAGTATAGATGACTGTTGCTTCATCCACTACTTACGATGTGTTTTTTTAACATCATGTCTTACCTCAAGACACATCCCACCCATCCTCCTGTCTGATAGGGAATCTGGCTGTGAGGTGCATATCTAAACAGCCAGATCAGGAGAATATCCGGAAGCAGGCCTGAAATTTTCTAGACGTTTTTCAGGAGTGCATTTGTAAAAACAGCTAAAATGAGTCATGGGAAAAGTCGACATGGTGTGCTCTGAAATTAGAAAAGCAGACAGATATTTTCATCAAGAAATGACGGACTGTCACATGTTCAAGTTCAAACTATTGGGGTTTTATATAGTCAAATTTGGTTATATTATTATTAATTATATTTAATTATTTATTCATATAAATAACAATGTCATTAAACTATGTTTAATTGACTCAGGGACACCACCCCCAAACCAGGGAAAAATAACCAAAATATCACAAAATCAGTCTCAAATTATTTACTTAATTACTAATATTATTAATAATTAATAACTGTATTTAATAAATTGAAGGTGTGAAACGGGGGGGATGAGAGAGAGAGAAAACAAGATGGTGGAGAGAGACAATGCACCATGGTGACAGGAGGTTGCAGGGTATTTATCCCGAACACCCAGACTATTTACAGGGTCGTTATTGGAGGAGCATGCCCTTGTGCCGTGGTCGACTTGGCGGCCCATTCTCCTTCCCTCCAGGTCTTGCAACATGTCTGTCTCCCTCCTCCAGGGACTTGGTTCAGCCCGGGGGCTGCAGTACATACCTGTCCATCTTGAATTCCGGGTGACACTGTTTCTTCTGTTCGGTCAACCTGCTGCTTCTAGTGCTTCTGCTGTGTTTTCTTCTCCTCCTGCAGGGCCTTGCATTTGTCCTGCAAGGTCTTAAGTTTATCCTGCATTCTTTCGAAGTCATCCCGCAGGATCTGTTTTTCTTCTTGTACCTGGGCTAGCTGTGCCCGGTGTTTCTCATTCTGCAAACATGATTTGAGCTGATAAAAGAGGAGAAGTTGGCATAGAACATCTGAAATTGTGCACTGTGGTTTCCCAGTTGGATGATTTATATGCTCAACCAACTCCTTTAATTTTTCTTCGCATGTGCTGAGGGTGTAGGAGTTCAGACAGTTGACCTCTAAAGGGAGGTGGATAAGACCAGCAACTCCATCATGAAGGGATGGATTGTCTGAGCCACAGCGAGCCTTGGCCCAGGGTTGATGTATGTCTTCTGCATACATTATGTCTTTGTTAGGGGTGGTCCTGACTCGGTGGTTGACAAGATCAACTAGCTCCTTTAACTTCTTATCACAAATGTTAATTGAATAGCTATATAGGTTGGCTATCTCCTCTAAGGAGAGGTTACGTCAGACCGGCAACAGTTTCTTGCAGTGCTGCGTCATCTGATCCAAAAGGAGTCTCAGCTCCCAGCTCAACTAGGGTCTTGGTACACATTATACATGACAAAACAGAACCACAGTGGATTACTGTTAACAAAGCTGCTAAGCTAAACAAAGCTAGATCAACATAAGAGCAAATCTTATCTAAGTTTCCCAACTGATCACTGCAGTCTATCCTGGAATCTACGAGAGGGGATTCACACCTGAAGTCCTCAAAGGAAGGAAGGAACTCACACCTCTCAGACAGCTGGCTATGCATCAATGATGAGGTTACACTCTCAACTGGAAAAATGGCTAAATTGTTGTCTCAAACAACAAAGAGCACACAACAACACAATAACACAACTAAAACACAACTTGATGGCTGCTTTGCTTGAAATGAGAAGGCAATGTTCAAAACAAACACATTTCGTTCGAAGAATTTCTTAAGGATAAAACCCTGGATTAAAGCAACGAACTAGAGTGAGAAAGTCGCCCTGGCTGCATCATTATGTTCAACAACATATGACACAAACTAAGCCACAGCTTGCTGTCTGCTTTGAATAAACAAGCAAGAAAAGTAAATCTTCAAAAGAAAAGATCATTTTTTCCTCAAGAAAAATCTCTTTTAGGATTAAAATTCGGATTACTGTGCACTAACAGTGCAATAAAGCTGGTTTTATTGAAGGCCTCACACGGGGCACCATTTGTTGACAATCTAGTCAAATTTGGTTATATTATTAATAATTACATTTATTTAATTATTTATTATTATAAGTAACAATGTTATTGAACTATGTTTAATTGACTCGGGGCACCACCCTGAAACCAGGGAAAAATAACCAAAATATCACTAAAATTAGTCTCAAATTATTAACTTAAGGCGAGACACTACAGGTGAATAGGGTAAAAAAAATCTAACGCACAGATATCAACATGAAATTTCTCCAGTTTATTTCTTATATCAAGGCAAATATTTTTAATATTACAAGTTTTCTGAAATGTTATGTTTAAATATGCAAATAAGGCATTATCTAATTAAATATGCACTAATTTGCATACATTTCCAGCTGAGAAATCTGAACATTGGATAAACCCAGGTTCAAGATTATTCTTTCATTTTGTTGACATGTTAAAAACACAGTTATTTACGGAGGGGATTTTGGATATCTCTTTTTATCACGTCAAATCAGAAAATACAATCAGACTGGATCTATATTTATTTTCATCCCTGACCCAGCACAATTCGGACAAATTAAATCACAAAGCAGCTCATTCAATTGCGCAACATGAACAAGCAGCCACTGCTGTGTGGGATGCACGTCACTTTTATATCTAAATCCCCCCCCCCCGGTTTCCCATCAACAGCTTACGTTCATGATGCGCTTCCCGAGGACATTTCACGGGTTAATGCTTCACAACTTTTCCTTTTACATCCCCTTGCAAGTGACAACTGTTGTTTTCTTTTCATTGATTTACACAAAGATATTTTCATTCATTCCTCAAAGGTCCCCAGGAAAGCTAAACAAGGAAGCGTCTGAACGCATCACCTTGTCAGAAACCAAACACAAGCCAATAAAATTACGTTCTTAGCATTAAACCCCCCTCTGAACTTTCACAATTGGTTGCTGGTAGAAAGGAAGTGTCCTTATTTGGGTTACATAGCGTTGTGCAGGAGAGAAAGCCCTTTACAGAGATATCAGTCATGACGGGCAACAGAGAACAGCCGTTATACTGCATGTTGCATTAGAACGCTAACATTCGGGCAAATTTACAAGAAATCTAACGCCGCGATCAGACAAAATGTTTTAAAATATACACATCAATGTTTAAGTTGGATATTTTCTTCATGGTAGTTAGAAGCATTACATGTTCATTGTGGAGTGAACTAGCCCAAAATCTCAAAATTGACCAGTGCATAAAAAATGGATGTTTTTGCTTGCCGTGTCTCGCCTTAATTACTAATATTATTAGTCACATGGTGACAAAATGGTGGACAACAAAGGAAGCCGTGTGGCTGCCTTTTGAAATAGTTTATGCTCTCTGAGCTGAGTTCAGTAACTGTTACTATTCAGGCGGGTTTCCTTTGTGGCAGATGTAGGAGGAGGGTAACAGGATTCAGATTTGAGACAAGAGCAATGCTCTATTGTCTTTCTGGTTGCAGGAGCCAAGTTCTGTATGTGTCCTTGTGGATTCAGGGATCAGTGGGCTTTCTTCATCGCTCCTATCCAGTTGCATTCAATGACGTCTTCCGAAAAATCAAAGGAAAGAAACTCTTCCTTTTACCCGAACCTGATAGCATCTGATTGCGCCCAAAGCTCTTTGGACGCAATCAGCCATGGACGTAGTCAGCTGAATCCTCTGATGCTTGAATTCAGCATGTGAAGAGTTACCTAGACTGAGCAACCTCAGCTCTGGAGTTTAACTCATGCAAGCCAAGAGGAGGAAAGGGTTTTTCTCCTCAAATGCTGGAGTCCATCATATGGGAGAGGGAATCCTCTGGTGTTGGCACACCACACTTGAAGAGAATGAGCAATGCGAGGCGATTGCTTTTAAGGAATGGGACTGCCTGTGGGTTTACCTCAGGCCTCCTCCAACGAGGATAGAGAATTCAGACACCCCCCACCCCATACACACACACTTTTCACACCTATTTGTTAGGTGCTGTTGGGGGTGCTGGGCTAAGACTCCTTTGTATAGTTCCCTCCAAAATAACTCTAGTCAGCCTTGAGAACTGCGATATAGGCTGAGTCCTTTGTCCAGCACGCATGGCTGAGGTCCAATACATCATATGCCTCGTATGTTTCAACATCCTCGCAACTGTTAAATGCAACAATGTCAAACATCACTGCGAGACAAAGCACACATCTTTTGAGCAATCCTACCAACTCAGATCTGAGGACACAGAGAATACATGAACTAAGAGCCCGATACCATCGATCCGACAAAATCCTGATCAACAATGTGCCAACAATGTCCCCTTAAAGATTCTCTGGTTATTGGTCAACATGAAAAATATTTCACTGAGTCAGGATTTACCTGTCACGATTCAGCTCAGATTTCAAATGTAAACAGGTCGAGCTGAAGCTCACGTCTGTCACTTAGCAAGAGAAGGTGTGAGCTTGGGAAAGAGACAGGGAAGCAGGTGACAAAGCTGTTTCATGTGTTCAGATTGTTTATTATAACAGACTTCAGATGGCAGAAGGTAGGGAACATTTTCTGTATTTTCTTTCATCAGGCTAAAACATTCACAGTGTACAGAAATATGAACAATTCAACTTCTTAGCCAGAGATTTTATACCATGGCCTGCAGGGCTGGCTGTGGATCAGTGGCAGAGTCGACCGTCAACTGGAAGGTTGGGAGTTTGATCCCCAGCCCCTAAAGCAACATGTCCGATGTGTCCCATGAAAGACACCTAACACCCGATTGCTCCCGCTGGTTCGTCGGCAGTGTGTGAATGTGTATGAATGGATGAGTTAATACTGACGGACTCTTTACACAGCGACCTCTACCATCAGTGTGTGAATGTGTATGAATGGATGAGTTAATACTGACGGACTCTTCCCACAGCGGCCTCTACCATCAGTGTGTGAATGTGTATGTATGGATGAGTTAATACTGATGGACTCTTTACTCAGCAGCCTCTACCATCAGTGTGTGAATGTGTATGTGTGACCTGCGGTATAAAAGCGCTTTGAGTAGTCCGAAGACTCAACAAGCTGAAGTCCATTTACCATATAAAGACCTGGTACTGACTGCATGGATGGTCGGTTACTATTTGAGGATTCACGGTAGTTAACATCAATTTCACCTCCAGTGACTAAGTCATTTTTACTGTAGCTCAAAGTTTTCCCTACAAAGTTCTTTGTTAGATTGTATGACACATTGGGACTTTTTGTTTCTGCAGCCAATGAAGATGCAGATGGAGGCTGATAAAATGACGAGTCAGTGTTCAGCTGGGACAGGTAGATGTAGGAGAGTCAGCAGCAGACCTCGTAAACCTCCAGATGGGATGTGTTAACAAACTTTCAAAACAGCATCACCTAGTATAACTCTGATTTCTCTCTACACATCCAAACTGTCTGCAGCTCTCCCAGTTGATCTAGCATTCGCACAGAATCAGCAGTGTTGATGATTCTTCCACCTCAGATTGTTTTATAGATTTTTCATTTTCTCTTCCTACTCTGCGATTCTCTTGATCTGATTTGAATTGTTCCGTCTAAATCTGGAAAGAAATACATCTAAAAAACTTCAGCTCAACTGGACAACTAGATTGATTATTGTTTGACAATTGTATATTGTTTACACAGAATCTTTGGATTCCATCATGTTTTTAGGTTTTTCAGTTCTCTCTTCAGAGAAATGAGCCGCCTCTGCTCTTTGTGAGATTTGTTTGATGATGTGCTTCTTGTTAATATTTGATTTTTCTTTTGTATGTATTTCCTGATAAACCTTTGGAAAGTTCTCAGGCACAAAGAGAGGACCCACTTCATGTTAAATGTTGAAAAATATGCTTCATGATGCTGTATTTTGGATTGCCGTAGAAGAACACCTGAACCTCTCTGTTCTTAGACTCTGGACTAAGAAAGGCAGAACTTTAGGATAGGACAACAGAGAGGGAATCCCTCCACTACAAACTGCTGACGGGCATAAAGTGAGAACATCACGTTTACCTGGTGAGGGCTTGTAATGTTTTTATCTCCACGACTCATTCACAGGTGTTCCCCCGGTTGCTTCTCTCTCTCTATATTGGATATATAGCGAGTGTCGATGAGTTTGAATTGAAGCGAACCTTTTGGCAAATTTGAAGTCAATTCCTTCAGCTTTTTTTTTTTGACAGGTAAAAAGAAAACGTGCGATATATCGACGTACCTCCAAAAAAACACATAAAACAGAGCCTCATAATGTAAGCTGTGTGCCTTGATAAACTGTGCAGGTCAAATATAATTACTGCTGCTTCTCTGCTCTCACAAAGCCTGAAACTTATTTTGAATATTATATACTTAAAGTGATACTTCGTGTTTTAATTCTCTGACTGATCAAACTGTTCACACATTCAGAAGTTTGAATGTGATCGTTGGGTAAACATTACAGATCATGAACTCCTCTCCATAAAAATCTGTATTCATGGTGAGATAACATGAATGATATGATGAGTTGAATAACTGAATTAGATGACGGGCTGTGCTGGATTTATTTTAGTGTTTGATCAGATAGAGCAATGGGCTCTGTGCAGTGATTTCATTTAGGTTGTGGGCTTCTTCTTTGTTTACAGGACAATCATATCTGAATTTATTTGGCATTCATTTCAAGCATTTCTTTCAGAAACACGCCCTGCTGTTATATAGAAGTTAACCACGCATTTGATTTGGAGTTTATGTTTCCAGGCTGACTGAACTCAAACGCAAATGGAGAACATCTCCTCTCACAAATATTTCATCCTCAACAGTTTTAATGAACTTGGTGCCCTGAGGCCGGTCCTCTTCTTCCCTTTCTTCATCATGTTCGTCCTGTCACTGTTGGCTAACTCCCTGCTGCTGTACGTCATCATATCACAGAGAAGCCTCCACTCACCGATGTACATCCTCATCGCCGGCATGGCCTGCGTGGATCTGAGCCTTCCACTGTTCTTCGTTCCCAACATGCTGCTGAACTTCCTGTTTGACTGGAGGGGAATCTCTCTGATTGGCTGCCTGGTTCAGATGCATTTTATTCATTTTGTTGCATCTTTTCAGTCCTCGCTGCTGGTTTGGATGGCCCTGGACCGATACTTTGCCATCTGCACTCCCCTCTACTACCATGAACACATGGCTTTACCAGGGTTCTTAAAGTTTATCATCCCACTTGTGATAAGAAACTTCCTCCTGGTCACACTGTTTGTCAGTCTGGCAGGAACTTTGTCATTCTGTGCTGGAAATGTGATGAACCACTGTTTCTGTGAGCACATGGCCTTGGTGGAGCTGGCCTGTGGAAGTACCAGCATGAACAACCTGACTGGGTTACTGACGGTGTTCCTTAACCCTGTGGCTGACTTTGTTTTTATCACTGCCTCTTATGTCATCATATTCAGCTCTGTGCTGACTTCTGGAAAGTCAGGTGTCAAAGCCCTTCACACCTGTATCACTCACATCGTGGTCATCACTGTCAGCCTGACCATCGCCCTTGTTGCATTCCTGTCGTATCGGATCAGAAACGCTCTTCCTGCAGCTGTTCGTGTTTTTATCAGCACCATGTATGTGCTGTTCCCGAGCTGTTTCAACCCAATCATCTACGGCATCAGAACAGCTGAGATCAGACAGCACATTGTGAAGACGCTGATTTTGTGTCACTTTAACAGAACTGCGTCCCATCCCTAAGAAACTGTAATAAAATCTGTTCTAAACATTTAAGGCCACCCAGTTTCATGACAAAAAGAAGATAGATTATAAGTAAGGTATAACTTGTTTTTAAAATAGTAATGCCTGAGTAAAATTGTACAAATCCACTTAGTACTGTTATATCAACAGACTAACAAGACTTGATGTCTCAGAACATTATTCAGTTACACACACAGAGGGTAACTGCTCTCTATCTTCTTCAAGATCACTTACTGTTGTTTAAAACTTCACAGTAATAGACAGCTTGTGTAGAAAAGCATTTTGGAAAGCACTTGTTGCTTGACCAAGTCATGAGATCCTGTTTTCTCTAACAAAAAAGGATTTATTTAAACATCACTCTCATTTCAATATAAATCTGACTGAACGACAGTACTTATATTTAAAATCATACTACTTGTTTTTCATTTTATTTCACAATAATGGATAAAATATGCAATTTTAAATCAGTTTTGATGTTAATGTTGTTATGGAAGGCATCTCGCGACCCCCCTCTCAGTGTCTCATGATCCCGATAGGAGTCCCAACCCCCACTTTGGAAACCACTGATGTAGAGTCTGAAATCCACAAATACAACTTATTTTAATGTAAAAGTGGGCGTGGCTGTTTTTCCTCCAATGAGTGGATTTTGTACAAAACAAAGTTAGTTTGATTCTTCACAGGCTACCTAAGGCAGAGGTTAACGTTCACAAATAAGGTTCTGGGTACCCCGACTTTGAAACGCTCTCACAGATTTTCCTACAGGAGTTGAATTTAAATCTTTTTATACGTGTTATAAGAAACCTTCATGAACACAGCTGTGAAGACATTTCTTGGTAAGGAATGAATTCCCAGTTTTTTGTGATATTCACTTACTAAGTATGAGAAAGTGTTTGTAAAAGTGAGTTTGAGACACTGTGGAGCTTTAGATAAATCACACATCACTTACCTGTGCACAAAATAAAATCTCAAACTCCACATCAGAAGGTTTTCAGTCCCAAACCAGGATTAAACAACTGGACAATTTTCTCCAACAAATATAAAATAGACAATAAGAGTACAATTACAGTATCATTCAAATATAAAAGAAGTGTTTATTCTTTAAGATGTTACATATCACTGAGGATTGCAGGTTACATTTATTTATATTTAACACATGCAGTAAACATTGGTGCACATGTTAAATACAAAGTAGACGCCATGCATACAAGTTTCTGTCCGTGGCTAATTGCTACTCCTGTCCCTGTCTCGGCTTTAAGGATTAAAACAGAATTACAGAAGCTGTGATGCTATACAAATAAAGAAACATTATAAGCACAATACAAACAAGAGACTAAATGAGACCAAACAGTAAAACGATTATTCTAAGAGGAAACGTTCAATGCTCACAAACTTGCATCAGTTTCAGCCTCTGTTTTACTTGTGTCTTAAAAACCTTGAGCTCTGTCAGTTCTTTTAAATTTCAGATGATAATGTGTAACTCGGGTGTGTTCCCCTTACTGAAAAAGATGACTGACCAAATGTAGTTCTGTGTTTCGGTGTTCGGTTTGTTTACAAGCCGACAGTTTCTGGAGCAAAGACGTTTTCACATTTAAAAATCAGATTTAAAAAAGAAAAGTTTACAAAACTGTCAAAACTCAGTATGTTGTGTTTGTTTAGAGCGATGTGACGGTGCCTTCTGACTGATTTCTGATCCTTTACTTTCAGAGCATGTTTATATAATGACCTGATAGGTGTAATGGTTGTTTGGTTGGCCTGTCCCCAAACAGTCATACAGTTTAAATAAATGAGCAAAAATCATGGCATGCATAAACTGCTGTGCTGCTTTAAGCGGTCTATGTTTCTGACTAAACAAAAACAGTTTACATTTCTTTTGACAGTTTCATAACTTGTTCCAGTTTGTGAAACTTCAACTGAGAATCTAAAATAATACCTAAACATTTTAACTCATGAACCTCTTTTGTCTCTTTCTATACTTTTATTGAGAAAACACAGACAGATTTATCATAGTTTAAGATGAGATGATTACTAAAACCAAAATGTTTGAGGTGCAGAAGGTTACTACTTTCAAGGTATTCTGTAAGTTGTTTGGCAACAGTTTTTTCAAGAACCTTTGAGAATGTGAGTAAGATTGAAATTGGTCTGTAGTTAAAGATCCGGTCAGGGTCTCCAGCTTTAGGAATTGGGGTTATAATTGCTGTTTTCAATTCCAGTGGGAATTATTAGTTCTGATGGATAAGTTGATTATATGTGTAACTGGTGTTGAAAGAAGAGCGTGATTAAATATTTCAAATCAAAGTGATGAAATCAGAATAATTCTTTAGTTTGAAACAGAGTGAACAGAGTCAGCTGATCTTCAGTCAGCAGAGTTTCTCAGACTGACAAATGACACAGAGACACTGAAGAACCACGAGACCTGATCCTAAACCCAGGATAGAGAGGTTCAGTGAATGTGGTGTTGAAGGTGTGGAGGTGGATCAGTGTGTCAGAGGAGACTCTGTAGAAGGACAGAGAGCTAGCAGGACAGTCCACATACACTGCTACTCTGTGAGAGACAGAGGAGGAGGAGAAGTAGGAGGAGAAGGAGGAGGAGATGTTTGTTCTTCTGTCATTGTGCCAGACAGAGTAACCTCCATCAGAGCAGAACAGACTCCAGGACTGATCATTAAATCCAAACAAACATTCATCACTGTTTCCTCTCCTTCTGATTCCTCTGTAACTCACTGATACAGAAACATCTCCTCTCCACTCGACCTCCCAGTAACAGCGACCAGTCAGACCAGTCCTACACAGCAGCTGAGGCCAGATGTCAAATCTGTCTGGATGATCAGGATATGACTGAAGCTCCTCCACATGTGTCACCTTCCTGTTGTTGTCAGACAGTTTCAGGTCTCTGCTCACTGTGTTTGTGTCCAGTTCCAGCTCACAGGCGTCTGATGGAGAGAACAACAACACAGCTGCAGGTTATCATCTGTTCATTCATCAACAACTTTACTGACACTTACTGAGAGTCAATCAAACTTACAGTTCATATTCTGCACTGAATGATGTTTGGCACTGAAATGTAATAATCCACTTCTAATCTAGTTCAAATGTAGTTACCATGGCAGTCAGGATGAATGGAGATCCAAATCAACAAACACATGCAGTGAATAAAGTCTGACTAATCAAAGTGCAGCACAAAGAAGCTGTGAACCATCTGCTGTCTCCAACTGTTCTGTCCTCAGAGGTCACATTCAGCACAAACAGGAGCCTCATTTCCACTTTCACTGTCACACACAATGTGATGTAGTCACACCCTGAATCATCTGTGTGCTCATCAATCCTTGTGTCTATGGCTGGGGGATCAAACTGTCTCCATAGGACTTTGGGAGACGATGTCAATAACAACAATAAACTTTGTACATTTTACTGGATGTGTTGTAGCTTGAAATATTGACCAACTCTAAACACATATTTATTATTGATCTTCATGGACTCTAATGTCAGATATGTTGGAGTTGGATCACTGTGTTCACTTTCTGTGTTTTGATCTGAATTCTAAAATCTTTCAATCAGAGACAAAAACAGAAACTAATTTCTTTAACTTGAGTTCAAAAGTGACGAGTCCTGTCAACAAATACAAACATAGACATTTCATGAAGTTCAGGTGGATTTGATCCAAATGATTTGATGAAAATAGAGCCAAATGTAATCTGTAATTGTCTTTAATTCATCATTGATGGTTGTCAACACAAACTGTTTCTGTTGTCATTGAAGGAAAGGAGCCTCGAGGGTGGAAGTCACAGAGAGTAATGATAAGAAAGGAGGAGATGAAAACTCATCACGTCCAACAGAAATGTATTTTTACAGCACGCACTTTTTGTGACTTCCAGTTTAAAAGAAGAACTGATCCATCCATGGAACTGCTCAACCTTTGACCTTTACTGTCTGCACAGCCAGAAGACTGCATATTTACATGTTTATGAAAATGAACATAAAATCAAAAATTATTTCTGCTGTTTTTAAAGTTGAAAATGTTTCCATGAGCTCGACCAGGAGCAGCCGGCCAGCAGCCAACATCAAAACCATAAATGTCAAAGTCACAAAATCAGCATGTTGTAAACATTTCTGTTGAATGTGATGAATGGTGATTTTCTAATCACTCATCATTTTTATTTCACTTGACATTTTTCATTATTTAATATTTCAACTCTCATGAGTTTCCATCACCCTCACTTTTATCATCACTTTGTGTTACTTCCAGCCCTCATCCAACATGTGCTGCTGTGTTCTGATGAGGAGAAATGAAAACACACTCACACTTCCTCGGACCAGGTTTCAGTCTGTGCAGTCCACCATGGTCCAACCTGGAGGAAGAAACCAGATCAGAAGCTACTTTATACATCTAGATTTAAATCCAGCATCAGACAAGAAGCAGAGTTCATCATTCAGAAACAGTGAGACAGCTTCTGTGTGTCTGTCTGTACCTCAGTGTCTCCAGTCTGCAGTGTGGATCCTCCAGTCCAGCAGCCAGCAGCTTCTCTCCTCGTTCTCCTGGATGATTGTAGCTCAGGTCCAGCTCTCTCAGGTGGGAGGAGGAGCTTAGAGCTGAGGCCAGAGACGCACAACCTTCTTCTGTGATCAGACAACCTGACAGACTACACACACACACACACACACACACACACACACACACACACACACACACACACACACACACACACACACAACTTCATATTTCACATTCTTTATTCCAGCCGCAAAGTCAGTAAAGTAGCTGTCATGCTCTCTATGTTGATCTCCGATGTGCAGACGCGTACTCGACTGCACGTCTCTCTCTCTCTCTCTCTCTCTCTGTCTCTCTCTCTCTCTCTCTCTCTCTCTCTCTCTCTCTCTCTCTCATGTCGTGTAGCATATTACGACATGATGTACAAGAGTTAATTGTGAAAGATAGTCCTGTGTAGTGTGACCGCGGGCCGTGCCGGCCAGCGTGTGAATGGCGCAGTGAGGGGGCCAATCATGCTTAGGTACGGCATGGTACAGATTGCCAGTGTGACCTGAGAAAACATGATCTTAGAGCTGCACACTAACCTGAGAGTGTCCAGTCTACAGAGAGGACTCTTTAATCCAGAGGACAGCAGCTTCACTCCTGAATCCTGCAGGTTGCTGTTGCTCAGGTCCAGCTCTCTCAGAGTAGAGGACTGGGAGCTGAGGACTGAGGACAGAGCTTCACAGCTTCTCTCTGAGAAGTTACAGCCACTCAGCCTGAAAAGAAGTTGTTTGGTTAGTCAATCAAAATATCAAATGAACAGTAAGTACATGCAAGCTGATAAGGTGAACATTTGCATGAACAAGTCCTGACCTGAGAGTTTCCAGTGTACAGTGCAGGGTCTCTAAACCACTACACAGCAGCTTCACTCCTGAATCCTGCAGGTTGTTGTTGCTCAGGTCCAGCTCTCTCAGACTAGAGGACTGGGAGCTGAGGACTGAGGACAGAGCTTCACAGCTTCTCTCTGAGAGGTTACAGACACTCAGCCTGAAAAGGATTCAGAAGAACACAAATGAAAGCAATTAAAAACAATAGTTGTTATTTCTGAATAAAGAGAACTACATTAAACCTGGATAGTTATGTGGACACATACAGAGCTTTGTTTGAAGCTTTGATCACAGGCAGCAGCCTCAGAAGAGCCTCCTCTGAAGCAGAGTATTTCTTCAGGTCAAACACGTCCAGATCTTTTTCTGATGACAGTAAGATGAAGACCAGAGCTGACCACTGAGCAGGAGACAGTTTATCTGTGGAGAGACGTCCTGATCTCAGGGACTGTTGGATCTCCTCCACTAGAGAACGATCATTCAGTTCATTCAGACAGTGGAACAGATTGATGCTTTTCTCTGCAGACAGATCCTCACTGATCTTCTTCTTGATGTACTCGACTGTTTTCTGATTGGTCTGTGAGCCACTTCCTGTGTGTGTCAGCAGACCTTGTATGTGATTCTGATTGGTCTCTAGAGAAAGACCGAGGAGGAAGCGGAGGAACAAGTCCAGGTGTCCATTTGAACTCTTTAAGGCCTGGTCCACGGCACTCAGATAGAAAAGTGTTGGGTCAGGTTTTTCTCTTGATACTTCAGACCTGGATGTTGTTTGTTCTTCTGACATCAGATTGACTCCAGAGTTGATGAAGGTCAGATGGACATGAAGAGCAGCCAGAAACTCCTGAACACTCAGATGGATGAAGCAGAACACCTTGTCCTGGTATAGTCCTCTCTCCTCTTTAAAGATCTGTGTGAACACTCCTGAGTACACTGAGGCTGCTCTGATATCGATGCCACACTCTGTCAGGTCTGAGTCATAGAAGATCAGGTTTCCTTTCTGCAGCTGTTCAAAAGCCAGTTTTCCCAGAGACTCAATCATCTTCCTGCTCTCTGGACTCCAGTGTGGGTCTGTCTCAGCTCCTCCATCATACTTGATGTTCTTCAGTTTGGACTGAACCACCAGGAAGTGGATGTACATCTCAGTCAGGGTCTTGGGCAGCTCTCCTCCCTCTCTGGTCTTCAGCACATCCTCCAGAACTGTAGCAGTGATCCAGCAGAAGACTGGGATGTGGCACATGATGTGGAGGCTTCTGGATGTCTTGATGTGGGAGATGATTCTGTTGGCCTGCTCCTCATCTCTGAATCTCTTCCTGAAGTAGTCTTCCTTCTGTGGGTCAGTGAACCCTCTGACCTCTGTCACCATGTCAACACACTCAGGAGGGATCTGATTGGCTGCTGCAGGTCGTGTGGTTATCCAGAGGCGAGCAGAGGGAAGCAGTTTCCCCCTGATGAGGTTTGTCAGCAGCACATCCACTGAGGTGGACTCTGTGACATCAGTCAGGGTCTGGTTGTTTTTAAAGTCCAGAGGAAGTCGACACTCATCCAGACCGTCAAAGATGAACACAACCTGGAACTCTTCAAACCTGCAGATTCCTGCTTCTTTGGTTTCAGGAAAGAAGTGATGAACAAGTTCCACCAAGCTGAACTTTTTCTCTTTCAGCACATTCAGCTCTCTAAAAGTTAATGGAAATGTGAACTGTATGTCCTGGTTGGCTTTGTCTTCAGCCCAGTCCAGAGTGAACTTCTGTGTTAAGACTGTTTTCCCGATGCCAGCCACTCCCTTTGTCATCACTCTTCTGATTGGTTCATCTCTTCCAGGTGAGGCTTTAAAGATGTCTTCTTGTCTGATGGTTGTTTCTGGTCTGTCTGGTTTCCTGGATGCTGTTTCAATCTGTCTGACCTCGTGTTCATCATTGACCTCTCCAGTCCCTCCCTCTGTGATGTAGAGCTCTGTGTAGATCTGGTTCAGAAGGGTTGGGTTTCCTGCTTTAGCAATCCCCTCAAACACACACTGGAACTTCTCCTTCAGGTTAGATTTCAGTTTTTGTTGGCATACTGCACCAAACGTTCCTGAATAAAGAAAGAACTGAAATCAATGAACAGATCCTGATATAGATCACATGACTATCTGAGTTTTTTAACTTTAAACCTCTTCGTCCTTTTTCTAAAATGCTAAATCTGTTAAAATGTTCTTACTGCTCTGCAGACGGGCAGCCAGCTCCTCCTGCTTCATTCTCCTCAGGAAGTGGAGAGTGATCTTCAAAAAATCCTCTTTACAGCTTCTACCCTGCTCTTCATCCTCACTCTGACTCTCTAAGCATTCTGGGTAATCTGGACTCAGAACCCTCTGGACTCTCTTCAGCTTGTTCTTCACAAAGGTGACGATGTTCTCCTCCAGCAGCTGGAACAGAAGGAGACACTGGATATTTAATATAAACTGGTAGAACTCAACATGTGGTTCATCTGTCAGTCTGAAGGTCAGCTGGTCTAAACCATAGACTGTAAATATTACTGGACAAACACTGACCCGTCTGTTACGGAGGTATCAAATGAGTCTAATCGACTGCTGCATCCATATTGGAATTGCAGTCTCAATGGGGTCTCAACCTAGCAACAGCGTTAAGGCGGGACTTAACTCCGCCCATTCAGTTCGACGTTCCATTTCACAGCATAGCTAACGGCTACGGCTGCTATCATCCCCTACGGCTTTCCTGCTTGTCCTGAGAAAACTCTATAAACAATAAGTTAACATTTAACTTTTCTACAACACAGTTAAAATGAATTATCTTCAACCCAAATATTTAATTAAAGTCTTAAAACTACACTTTGTTGAATATACAACTATGTTTATTAGTTATTTGTCAAAGCAGTTAGACTTTGTCAGGGTTAGCAGAGCAATACATTAACAAAGTTTTATCATAATATGTAAGAAACATTTTGAGGCTAATCTTTACATTTAAATTCTCACATTGTGTTACAAATCATTACTTAACATTACATAAGAAGTCTGTTTTAAACGATAAAAGACGAGAGCTTTGGCGTCTTTTTTCTTTTTGTTGTTGTTGATAAAACTACTGTTAGACCACAGACTGTAAATAAATATATGAGACATCCAGAAAAAATCAATATTACAAAGCATATAGTTCATGTTACTGTTCTGACAAAAAGAGGAATGTCTGTGTTTTATATTTACTGCTGTCAACAGCGATGAGGTGAACATGACAATTGAAAAATAATTATTTAGTATTTATGATAAGACATTTGTTTTCTATTGAACCCTGTGAAGTCATGGAGTCTGTGGACAGTGTCAGCTTCACACCAAAAACTTTCAGTATTAGAAAAAATAATGTTTAAGACTGGCATCTATTATTAGGAGTTGTAGCTACCTTGTTCAATATTATTCCTGCAGATGTGGCTAATAATAGTGATGTGTCGTTCGTGAACGATTCGTTCAAAACGAACGAATCATCTGGGTGAACGGACTGAACTGAATCACTTACTGAAAAGAGTCGTTCATTTCTCAACTTCAGTTGCGCTCTCCTCTCTCCCGTCTCGTTTCTCTCTCTCTAGACTGCAAGAGTCTCTCAAAGCCCGCCCTCTCTCTCCCTTTCATGTCAGTGATACGTACTGACTGAACCAACAGGACGGAGTCGGTCGGGAGCTCTGTGTCACTAAAGCCCGCCCCTATTTAAGATTAAGATTAAGATTAACTTTATTGTCCCAGTGGGAAATTTGTCTTGGACTTCACTGAGCTCTGATGCAGTAGCAAAAAATAACAAAATACATTAATTCGTCAGTAAAACATGTCAGTTAAATAATCATAAAATGCCATACAAGTGAATTACTAAAACCATAAATGTGTAACAGTTATGAAAAGTGAAAACAGTGCAGGTACATCTACACATCTTCACACACCTCATACATGCACACGTATACACACACATTACAGCTTAGGTACTGTTGAGGGCTTTGATGCACAAGGGAACAAAGGTATTTCTAGATAGATCCTTTAATAATCCTTTACAGGAAATTACAGTGCCACAACAGCTTCAAGACAGACATAACACCACACATTTCATAAGATGGCTTCCATACTTAATAAGTAAGTAATCTTACTAGTAAATCTTGAGCTAAACATGTGACAGGCTACAGCTGTCCACAGTCTGTGATGACAAGCTTCTTTGAGGGGGGGGCCTCCTTTTGTGCCCAGCTCTCCCATCCGTTGCAACACATCCATTCCTTCACAAACCCAACCGAAAGCCACATGTTTGAAACGGTTGTTCCTCCCTTGGGGTACCCTGTATCGTCGGCCTGAGGGGAGGAGCTGGTACTCAGGGTGAAGAACATGAGATGGGTCTGAGATTATTTTTTGTGCCTGTCTGATTATGGTTAGTTGAACTCCCATGATTTTCATGGCTGTCTTTGTGAGTCTGTTGATTTGGGCCTTTGCTTAAACGGTCAAATTTCCAAACCATGCAGAGATACCATATCGTAGGAGGCTCTCTACTCCTGCATGGTAGAAGAGAAGCTGCACTTCCCGGGACACACCAAAGGTCCTGAGTCTTCTCAGAAAGTGAAGCCTCTGCTGCACTCTGGAGCAGACAGCTTCCACCTGGGACTTCCACACTAGTTTATTGTCTATGTGGATGCCGAGATATTTGTAGGACTCTACTTGTGTTATGGTGTGATCATGTGATCATGGATGACCACTGGTGAGTGGTCGCCAAGAGACCGAGGGTCGAACACCATCTCATTTGTTTTTTTTGTGTTGAGGAGGAGATGGTGTTCGTCACACCACTGCACAAAGTTGCTAATTGTTGATGTATATGTGTGAATGTCCGAGCCTGTTTGGAGAAGGCCCAGGATGGCCGGAAAACTTCTCCCTCTCATGTCTCCAAAATTGAGGAAGTAGAAAATATATTATTTAACATTTAGGTGTCGCGAAAATGTTTGTGCCTTTTATATCTGCTGTCAGTTTGCAAAAGGCTTTGATATCCAACTTAATTTCACTCAGCTGACTATTTTAATACTCACTAACGATCGTGTTTCAGTCAGTACAGTGTGTGTGTGTGTGACTGAGGCTGGTGACTTGCAGTCTTGCTCGTTCACGTTCAGTCAGTGATTCTTTAACTGAACATACTGACTGAAGCTCCGACACGAATCACTAACTGAACATACTGAGAGGGGAGAGAGTGACTCGGAGCTCCCGTTCAGTACGTTCAGTGAACGAATGACTGACTGAGAGGGAGAGAGAG